TCTTCTGGCCTTTTAACACAAACTCAGGAATCTTAAGTAGAACTGATCACCTGGGTATTTTTGATCTTGAAAAGCAAAAAATATGAGATGGGTGGAACAAATGTTTCCTCAAATCAGGCCATCATTTCCACATATGAATGAAACAAAGCAAAATATTGGCTGCTCTGGAAATTCCTGGATATCAGAACAAATACCAGCTTATAGCGTATGGTAATTTTGTAAACAAAACCTTTATTTCACTTTATGATTGGAATAGCAAGCAGTTAGACTACTACAGAACTGAAAATCATGTGTTTCATTCTTGGTAATTAATTGAAAAAGTGCACCTGCTTGTCATTGTATTATTCAACAGCCATAACCTTTGCATGGGTTTTATTAGATAGTTATAATAAATTGAACCCTGAACTTTTATGTACTCTTATAATTTGATTTTATTTCTTTATCAAGTGAAACTATGATTGTGGTAAATTCATTTGTATCATATGATTCCCAACTAGCTGCAGATAAAAAGGTGAACAGAATAATAAAATAATTATTGCACATTTTGAACCAATATCTGAACTATTTTTAGATATAATTTATTGTACTTGATTGGATTATATATTTACAAACTGTACCATTTATTTCCGTCCTTTATTTATAGATAAGAAATTAGATAGGACAAGAAGAGGTAATTTGTTGTACTTTAAGACAGGGTGATAAGTTAAAAATTGTTTATACTTGTTCCAAGGAAGGGGAAATCATTTCTTTATATATTTCTTTTCTTTTACTGTGTGCTTATTCTTTTTTTTAATTTCTCTGCACTTGCTATCTTTTTCTTTTTATTGTTTTCAGGGGGAATTCGTTTCTATTAGTTTCATCTTTGTAATTGTAATGTTTAATAAAATTACTATAAAAATGTTTGTTCTTACTTTACACAGTACAAGTTGGATAATAGAATTTAAAACTGACTTAACAGAATGTTCCTGAATAGTATTTTCCCAGCAACGGCAATTTTGCGATGGAAAAGTTGGTGGCTTATGAAAAATGGTTATTTGGTTCTGAAAGAACAATAACAAGAGGGGTGTTGGCAGCATATGAAAAAAAAAAAAGATGGCAGCTGTGATAGTACGATCAAAGTCCATTTTCCTTGTGATGTGTGCAGTATGCATAAAATCAGGTAGACCTTCAATTGTAAGATCATGGCTGCCATCTTGATTTTTTAAAACACCGCTTAGCAACCAGGAAGCATTCCATTTCCTCTTACACAGGAAGTGACACTCAGCTGCCGGGGTTTTCTACAGTGTAACTCTATAGACAATCTGAAACAAAGAAAGTGTTCCCTTTTTAAAAAAAATATTGTAAAAATCAACTCCAGATATGCCAGCTAGTGATGAAAGGCATCAAACACATTTGGAGAACCCAGGTGGGAAAAGACTGTTTTGGAAGAAACAGATATAAAGACCCAAACTTCTTTTTTTAATTTAGTCAAATAGAGGTGATATAATTTGCATGATTCTTGATAAATAGTGACAGCACCATTGGTTACATGCTTTGAAATGTCCCATAAGCTACTCAAACATGAATGAAACACATCGATCCCTGCTATTTTGCCCCTTAACAAGGAGGCAGGGGCAATCGTGTACTTCGAAGTAAAGTCACCTTGCCTTAAGTGGATCCTTGTGATCTACCTAGCAAGAATCGTCTCAATTCACAAGCAGTGTCATTTCACATACAGAAGCCAGCAGGAGTTTTTATTTTCCATTTACACCCTGTGGATTTTCAGAATGGGGCATAGAGAATGCATTGTTTGGTAATGCATACTACAAAGTGCAAGCGGCTGTGAGGTGAAGTACAGCATAAATTCAGCTGTCCCCTGAAATAAAAGGAGAAAAAAGTTCAGTTCTTTATAATGAAATTCTGTCTGGCAGTGGCTGTCCTCTGTCTGTCTGTTTATCTATATTTAATCTATCCATCTACTTATCTACTTATCTGTTACCAGTTTCCCCTTCTTCCTTGCATGAAGATGATGTTTAGAGACTAAGCAGACATTTTAAGATAGAATCCTCAATCATTTCTCAAAAGTTGAAAGACCAGCCCAATTCACTCTCAAGATTGGGGTTTTTTCAAGTGAATGTATAACAACTATTCTACTCCTGGATTTTTAAAGGGCCAAATTCCCATTTCATCCCTTATAAGAAAGATGACCTGTCCTGAGTCTCATCGTGCCTGTGGCTCTGAATTATCTTGGAATAGGAGTGTCAAACTCACGGCATCATGTGACGTATTGGGACTTTCTCCCCCTCCCCCCCTTTGCTAAACCGGGAATGGGCATGGCCAGCGTGTGATGCATCCAGCCTGCGGGTCACGAGTTCGACAGCCCTGTCTTAGAAAGTCCATTGTATTTGTAATATTAAGTTACAGATATAAGAGTACTTGGGGAAAAAAGCAAGTTGTAAAGAAAGATAAATAGATATTTTTTTCCAGCCCATCATATATCTATTTTTTAGAAGATCGTTTACATTTTTCAGAAAAAGGTATGCAGAGTTTTGCTGGAAGCAAAAGACGATAACATTTCAGATATATATTATAGCAACATGTCCTCCACCCTTAAAATGATGTCATTATTTTGTGAAACAGATCTTGGAATTATTTGAATCACATACTATTAAAAATGTAATAAATTAAACTAGTTCCTATTTTCATAATGTACTGTATTACAGAGCAGTATTTAGGCTAATATAAGTAGTTCCTTTCTTATTTATGACAAGCTGATGTGATTTCAGCCAAAAACCTTTCTGAGCTTTTGGTCATTTCTAAAACCATTATGTGATTTTCTCACATAAAAAGTTCAGCTAGTTATAACAGGAACATTAACAATTATATCAAAGTTGTGATATAGAATTTGTGGGATTTGTTTGTTGGGTTAGAGTTTGCGTTAATACAGTATTGATTTTTTTTTATTAATGGATATGAGTGAAATATTATCTTTGACATTAGACATTAAGTGAACACTTCCTCTTTTATATCACTTCCCCATCCATAGTAAGGTTCACAAAGTCATAAAAGCAGAAGTTTCCAAGATAATGTTTGAAAACGTTTCATTTAAGTAGAAGCAAAAGGCAACTTACTTGATTTGTCTGATGGAATGCCGAGAAATTGTACTCTGTATTTTTTAAGTCATTCTCTCTGGTTAGCAGAACTTTTTAAATTAGGCATTCATGGGAGAGCTTGAGCTTTTGGAGACTTCGCTTTTCTTCAACATCTACATCTACAACCCTGGATTTGAGGTGATCAAATAGAGAGAGGAAATTTGTTGTAGTGGTTAAGGATTAGGGTGGTAATCAGGGTGCCAGGAATCCTAGTCCTGCCTTATGTATGAACCCAACTGGGTGACTTTGCACCAATCGCTCTCTTTTTCTCAACTCTTTAAAGGAGGCAATGGCAAATCACACCTCATATCTTGCCCCCCAAAATAGTAGGAGTTGTCCATGCAGTTGCCAAGAGTCAACACTGACTCCAAGGCACCCCAAAAAATTTAATATCCTGATGATAACCAGTGACATAACTCTCGTTCGACATCAGCGGAGATATAGTGGAAGTCTTGACTCAGTGCCTGGATCTATGAAAGAGTGGGTGGGGATAGAACGTCCTTGTATCCTAGCAAGACAGAATTATTTTTCTACAGAGGCTTTGAGGTACCAAGGTGGTTCCTTAAATTGCTCTAGATTCCTATTACTTCTTTGAAGGAGTAAATACAAATAAAGAGCATATTCAAATGTTTACTCCTTTAAAAGGGAACTTTTGAGCAGCAGCATCTGGTCCAACTGTTCTGAACTTTTCTTGACCAGCACTTGCTGAACACATCATAAATAAATGAACAAAATGATTTTCAATCTGTAAATAATATAAATGTTTAAATTAGTTCAACATTTCCACCTTTTTCTTGAAAATACCCATTTTTCCTCACTGAAAAAAATAACGTATCCTATATTTAAATAATTAAATATGTAATAAAGACTGCTAGCATGAGATCCCAAGTAAATGCATATTATTATTATTATTATTATTATTATTATTATTAGTTGGTCACACAATCAGTCAGATGTTTCGATTGGATTTGGCATTTTTGTTCCTCTGTCGAGTCTTACCTAAGGATCTAGTTTAATTAATTACTTAATTTAAATTATTATTATTTATTTCACTTATATAGCCTCCCATCTGACTTAGATGTCTCTGGGTGACTTACAATAAAATCAATAAAACAAATAAAACACACACACACACATAACAGAAGTCAATAAAGCCCTCAATAAAGCCAACCTGTATCCTACATCTAGTCTTCCACCTTGCTAGCTTAATTAACCTCACATTTTTTTGTATCAAACATACATGCACATCCTTTGGCATTTTGAAATGCTATCCAAAGCTTTGTGTTATCTTCCATGTGAAGCCTGAGAAACCAAATATTCAACGGGAACAAATCATTCGGGCTATCTTCTTTCCAATTAATATCATGCATGTTTTAGTCACATACTATTTTTTGCATGTTCCTTTTCTACTTTAAACATGAATTTTGAAAGATTTGTCAATTTATGCCAGAGGTCTCCAACCTTGGCAACTTTAAGACTTGTGGATTCAACTCCCAGAATTCTCCAGCCAGTTATGATTTTGAATTAAAATATAATAGGGCTCTTATTTCAGATGGTCGAAGTCCCAGAAGAACAACCTAGAACAAGGGTCTTCAAACTTGGCAAGTTTAAAACTTGTGGATTTCAACTCCCAGAATTCCTGAACTAACATGACTGGGGGAGGGATTCTGGGAGTTGAAGTCCACAAGTCTTAAAGTTGCCAAGTTGGGGACCCCTGGTTTATGAAAACATATTGGTGGTGTTGGCAGACTTATTATATGCATATATTGATGGGCCTTAAGTAACCTCTTCCTTTTTGATACATAAACCACTGATTTAAATATTTAAATGTGTTTTCTTCAAAGCGTCTTTTCTTTCTCTTTTCTCTAGGCGGTTTTGAGTCCACTCATTGCCATTGCACTGAAAATATCTCAGATTCATGAGAGGACAGGTCGTAAGGGTCCCACTGTCATCACCTGAAGGAGAATTGCTGACTGAGGGCCAAACTCTCGGGTGGACAAGGAAAAATGAAGACAGTGCTCAAATGCACCAGTTCTTTGTGCCTTATATTAGCTTAAGGGCTTGGGGGCAGTTGGGCGGGAGGTGGGTGGACAAAATTTATTTTGAGTTTCATTCTTAAGAAAAATGTGCACTTGTCTCTTATAGGCTTCAGCGTCTTCTTGTGTTGCAAATGATCAAAACCAGGCTGTCTGAGTAATACCAAGATTTGTTTATAAGAGATGATTTTAAAAAAGATTCCTGTGTTTTGCATTTGCAAGGTGAAAATAGGCTACATGTTTCCTTAGCTAGAGCTGGCTGCAAAACATAGATTTTTGATAATAGTGTTTTATGAATCACCCATCATAATTTAAAAAGAAAGCACTCTTAATGATAGTCAAGGACATTTTTAAAATCTCAAAAACAAGATATTATTCTTAGGTTACCTTATTTTCTAAACCCATCGGGGAGTTATGATGGATTAATTTTGAATTAAAATATAATAGGGCTCTTATTTCAGATGGTCGAAGTCCCAGAAGAACAACCTAGAACAAGGATCTTCAAACTTGGCAAGTTTAAAACTTGTGGATTTCAACGCCCAGAATTCCTGAACTAACATGACTGGGGGAGGGATTCTGGGAGTTGAAGTCCACAAGTCTTAAAGCTGTCAAGTTTGAAGACCCCTGGCCTAGAATGTCGGCAACTTTGTCCTTTTCTTGGGCTGTGACAAAGTGTTTGTGTAATACAATGAACCATAAACTAGCCAATTGCATTTTAGCCTAGTGGCTTTGTCAGCCTGGTCTGTGTGGTTAATTTATGGTTCAATGATTTTTACAAATTTGGATTTATTAAATAAACTATGAGTTAAGGATGGGTAGGTTCATGTCATGTGAACATTGCCATTTAATCCAAAGGGAGCAGCACATGAGAAGAATCCGCAGGTGGGGCTATTCTAATCAATGAGTTCACAAATATGTAGCCCAGAAGATTTATTTACAAATAGGTGCCCCTGAGCAACAAAAACAACGTAATCTTCCATAACTATGCCTAATTCTGCAGCTTTATCCTGAGATTTTACTTAACTGATTATTTTTTTTCAAAGTATACTGGCAACTGCCACTCCTAATTTCTCAGCTCGAGTTTTAATGACTACATTTTTATGCACCAGTGCTACATTTATACACACTTGATGTAACTAAATCTTATATATTTAAATGGAAAAATGAGAAGTTACCTTGCAGCAATCTGTTTGGCAAACAGCTTTCATGTTTTGTTCATGTCTGCTGTTACTCATAAATACCATCACCAGCATAACTGATTTGTATGTGTGGTCTCTCTGCTTGTAGCTTACAAATGGGACTGCTTTTTTCTACTTATTTCCTAAGCCACCTTCTATTCAGATTCAGTTCTATACAGCTTCAGTTTTAAGGAAAATATACCTTTTGCTATGAGCTGATGATTTGTATTCTGGATTTATCTCCTACTGTGGAGCTACCTTGACAATGATCCCTCTCCTTTTGTTATCCGTTTCTTTTTTTAGAAGTAAATCTTTAGGGTATTTCCCTCTCACTCTCTTGTGCATGTTCACTATCACTCTCTCATACACAAGTATTTAATTAAAATCAATTTAATTCAAAATCTTTAAAAGATACATTTCAAGATATATTTATGTTCCAATTTTTTAAAAGGGCTACAGATCACAGCAGAGTTCTAACTTTTATGCAGATGGACCAGCTAATTCTTTAAAAACAAACACCAAACACCATTCAGAAGAGACAGTAAAAAAAGCTAAAAAGGAAACCATTCCTCTTCTACAGCCAATACCCAGATAAGCAGGGATTAATACCAGACAAACAATCCAGAAGAAAACAATATCCTAATCAAGTAAATACCAAGCAGAAAACCACATCCCCACCAACCCTGGCAGGGCAAGTTACTATCTATGAACAGGCAGAAAACCCACATTCACTGATGGATGATGGTGATCATAATGTTATTTATTTGGGTAATGAAATGTCTGCAAGCAAACAGAGGACCAAGGACCCCACAAACGTATGAATTTGGATAAGGTGGAGGAAATGGGCCTGTGTGTGGTGCGTTCCATTGCTGTGCACTGATTTATAATCATAATAATCATAAATAATCATAATTCAAGGTGGAAGTGCTGTTTGGTTATTGCAAATGTGTGGCAATTGAATCTCACCTTTAGTGATATAGGTGACAATCTGTCTTTTAAGCATTGTATGCCCCTACATATACTTGGAGATCCATAGTGGAGTTTAATTCTTTTGTATGAGAACATGACTTGACAAACTAGGATTCTGCTACTGAGTCAATCCCCACATAACATCAAAATATTTAAATGTTATGGTATGTTGGAAGTGTAAGATTCCTGCTTCTATATACGCCTTATCAACATCTCTGAAACTATATCAGAAACCAGTTTTTAAACAACCATCTCTCCTTTACAGCAGATAATTTCCTCAACTTTGAAAGTGGGATTTTGGATCTTTTCAAACTAAAGCAGTGGAAAATCTGAGTCTAATCTAAAGCAAAGGTGCCATGCTGGCTAGAAAATTTTTAAGAGTTGAAGTCTACATGTCTTAAAGTAGCCAAGGTTCGGCATCCCTGCTCTAAAACCTCAAATGGTAGAAGAGAGCTTAGAAAAGGAAAGCAGGAAGACAGTGGAAGCAGCTGGCATCAGAATTAAAATGTGCTGTTTTGCATAACTCCAGACAAAGGAATTACAATTCCATTTTCCAAGTAATTTATTTTAACCAAGAGACAGGGCTTTGGGAGGCATGAGAGTGTATGGAGCTGAAGAGAGAAATTTTCCCACCTAAAACACCATCTAGATCGGAGTATCAAACTGGTGGCCTGCAATTCGGATGCATCATGTGCAGACCATGCTCATTCCAGCTCCGTGAAGGTGAGAAATGTGACAGCAATGTGATGCCACAAGTTTGTCACCCGTAATCTACAGTAGGTTGTTAGTGGAACTGTAATAGACGTTCTAGAAATATTTGCCTAGTTCACTTAATGAAAAGCTTGCCCAGTGTCTTACTAAAAAGTCAGGGAATAATATGGCAGAGGAAGGAGGCTTGCTCAGTGAATGCTGGGATATGGAAAAGTGTTTTTGAGTTTGTAAAAACACGAGTGGCCAACTTTGACAACTTTAAGACTCGTAGACTTCAACTGCCAGAATGCTGACTGGGGATTTCTGGGAGTTGAAATCTATACGTCTTCAAAGTTGTCGAGTTTGGATAACTCTGCTGTAGAATGAGAACATGGTGTAACTGTTTGTCAGGCATTACAATGGCTTTTGTGCAATCTGAAATGTTCATAGACTGGTAACACCACAATGGCAAACCTTCATTTCTAGTGCACTCTTGAATGCTGCTGTGTTTTAAGTAGCTGACTTAGATTCTTTTGGTATTTGTCAAAACTTACTATGACGTTTAATAAACTGTGTCCTATTTGCTTTGCATGAAATTGCTGATGGAACACAGCTGGCTCCAATGCAACAGTTTTTTTTAAGCTGTGTCTAGGTAAATGAGGCACTGATTTATCTTTGCACAGTGTTTTATTGCAGTATTATTAAACAGATTTTTTTGTAAGTCAAATACTTTTGTTCTGTTTTATATAATGTTACACAGTATATATAATCTTGTGGCTGCCCACAGCAACAAGTAGCTAGTTTGGTTTATTTCGTGCCGGCCTTTCATAAGAGGTATAAAGTTTTGCTGGAGGTTTTACTGTATGGAGCAAGCTAAAAGCTGAACACAATTTAAGAGATCTTCATAAATGAAATGCAAGTTCTGAATTAAAATGCACACATATAGTCATGGGTTTTGAAGTCGTTGATACTGATTAGAGCCGAGCCAATGCATGAAAAAGGAATGGAGATATATTAACTTTGGTTTTTATTTTGTTACAAACACGTGGCCTCCGTATCAGCAGATGGCAGCAGTTTCCCTGATCTCAGATTCAGGGAAATCTCAAGGCTGTAGACTAGATTGTGAAATTGCAAAACCATCCAGGAGACAGAAGAAAACCACTTCTAATTTGCCGCCAAGAAAACTACAATGACGTCTCCACGAGTCAGGTTTGGTTGCCATGATATAAAGACGGTATTGAGACTCTAGAAAGAGTGCAGAGGAGAGCAACAAAAGACGATTAGCAGCGGCTAGGATGGTTGCAGGAACTGAGTAGGTCTAGTTTCATGAAAAGAAGGATTAGCATGACATGATAGCAGCGTTCCACTATTTGAGGGGCTGCCAAGAAGAAAGAGGGTGGAGGGGTCAACCTATTCTCCAAAGCTCCTGAAGGCAGGACAAGAAGCAATGGATGGAAACTAATTCAAGGAGAGAACCAGCCTAGAAATAGCGATACATTTCATGAGTGATAACAATGAATCAGTGGAACAGCTTGCCTTCAGAAGCGGGTGCTGCATCAGTGGAGGTTTTTAAAAAAGAAATTGGTTAGCCATTTATCCAGAGTGCTATAGGGTCTCTTGCTTGAGCAAGAGTTAGATTAGAAGACCTCCAAAGTCCCTTCCGACTCCATTGTTCTGTTAAGCTCAATTCAGTTTGTTTTTTTCTAACTTTCTAAAGTTAACCATATCCGGTTTTCCCCAAGACATCATTTCCAGCTCCCTGGTTGTATTTGTTGTCTTCTGAATTAGTTCCAAAGTGACAGTTTAGATCACAGAACAAGATCTCACTTGGAAGTGCGTTCTTTTCACTGTTGTAGAAACACTATTTGACTACTATCCTTCACATGGGATAAATCACTTCTTTAAAAGAAGTACTTAAGTACCATCTTGTCGTGAAAATAGGAGCTAAGTTAATACTGAATACAGATTCACAAAATTGTTTTGCTCATCTGGATTACCCTAAACATGAGACAGTGCCTTAGAGTATTAGGTTTTTCCTTGACATCTCGATAGGCAGATACTTACCATGAAAAAAGAATTGGGATTTTGTTTTCTGACCTACAGAAATGGGGAGAAATGTCCCCCTTTTGGAATTCAGTACAAAATAGCGGGTTAACCTTGCCATATACAAGCTCAAGTCCTGATTGTTGTACAGTGCAAAGGAGCAATGGAGGAATTAGAAGAAAAGGTTACCAAGATACTTCGTTCCTTCTTGTTTTGTAGGACAAACAAACAAATGCACATTTATTCTCCCCAATAATTGCTAATCGTTTCTCAAAATGCATTTTATTACAAATCTTTATTACAAAAAAAACTACAATGCAGCATTAAACAATGTAAACTGGTTAGCCTCAGAATAGAAAAAGTTACTATAACCAACAAATGTCAACTATTAGGTGATTCATTAGATTTCAGCCTTCAATGCTAATGGATAACAAAAAGAACTGCTGCTAAAATTCCAAGATATTTTTAAAAATTACATATATGGAAGACATTCCAGTGCTAATTATCTTACTGCAATTGTCTAAACCTCTAACATTTGAGTTGGCTATTTTTTCAATGGGCTATCTTTATTGTACTCCCTCCTCTCAAAAGTAATGAGAGGAGTAAAGATGCGTACATAATGAAAAATAATTTATTGCAATATTGATACAATTATTTTTTTTAAGAAAGAATAAATATCGAAGTAAGAACACAATCTATTTTATCCAGAATATGCTTTGTCTTCATATTTTTGTGCGATTGCGGGCTCCATTGTAACTTAGTTTCCTGTATCCCAGATACTGCGCAATAGTAGCACAATAATTCAAACATGGAAACAACAATGCAAGACCAAACTACAACTCAGATAAGATGTTTAAATTCAATTTCAATGAAATGGTAAACGTTAAAATCAAAGGGTTTTTTAAATACTCAAACTGTAGAATAGGAACTGGTAAATCAAATCTTTGGTCATTTCAGCTGGACCTGTTCATCTCTTGGTGCAGAGAAAAGCTTGCAGAACACTAAAAGAGCGTAGGAGTTTAATTTTGGAAAGTGCCTTTCATCTCCCTTATGAATGCCAAAAATAGGATATTTACAGTAACATAACCTCCTCCAGTCTGGTGCTCTTCTGATGTGTTGAACTTCAGTTCCCAAAAGACTGTGCACCTCTGACAGAGTGTGGAAGTTGAAGTCAAACACACGTGAAAGGCACTGAATTGATGAAAGCTAATGTAACTGTCCCTGCTTTGTTGTATGTATATTTCCCATGTTCCTCACTACGTTGAAGCTTTAAATTTCTTCATTTACTCATTGCCTCTTGCCATGCCTGCTGCTATTCAGAAGATGGCACGGGCTCCTGCAAGCATTGCTTAATACAGGCAGAATACAACTTTTGTAAGATCCTCAAGAAGACTCAGTTGTTTTCATCCATCAACCAACAATGTTGGGCTGAATTCATCATCATTCCTAAAACCAGCAACACCTGTGGCTTATTCCTGTCACAAAGACCATGTTATTTCTGACTCAACCTTTCTGAATGCCACTGAATGCTCCCTCATCTGTGCCCAGTGCCTGGTAATGGAACCACACTGTCCTTTCCGCACCTCCTCACCAAGGCTTTACACACAATGCCTAAACATTGTCCGTGTCCCAGAAGAACAGTCATGGCTTATCTTCTTCAGTCCTTGGACAGCCCATCTTCTTAGCCATTGCTCTATGGCTGAGGTGCGTCAGAAGCCTCTCCAAATGTTGGGTCGTTTCCTGTGGCTCGTTGCTGCACAGAGACTTCATAGGAAGGTGGCTGTTGCTCCTGAGCACTGGTTTCCTCAATGAATTCGAAGCAGCTTTTTGTGTACAAAGGTGGAGGTATGTTATAAGAATAGTTCTTTGGCTCCAATGAGCAGGCTGGGAGTGAGAACGTCTGCTTTCCTGGAGCGGTGCTGTCTTCGTAGGAGGGTGGGTAGAAATCAGGCCTGCAAAAGACAGCCAAGACAAGAAACCCATATTATTTAAGAGAGCAGTATTAGAAATTAGGGACGCAGTGGCTCAGTGGCCTTGATTTACAATTAGCGACTGCTACAACAGCACTGAAAAAAGTGACTTAGGATCATTTTTTTCACACTTATGACCATTGCAACATCACTTGTGGTCACATAATCAAAATTCATATGCTTGGCAACTGACATTTATGACAGTTACAGGGTCCCAGAGTTCCTTCGCCACCTTCTGACAAGCAAAGTTAGTGGGGAACACAGATTTTCTTACTGACCATATCACTAACTCAACAACTGCAGCCATTCACTTAACAATTATGGCAAGAAAGGTCGTAAAATGGAGCAAAACTCACTTAATGACTGTTTTGCTTAATTTCCATAGAAATTTTGGGCTGAATAGACTAGAGACGAGAGGAGAGGAGAGGAGAGGAGAGGAGAGTAGAATAGAATACCTTTATTGTCATTACATTCTACAAATACAATGAAAATTGTGGTTGTTAAGTCGAGGTTTACCTGTATTCTGTAATGGAAATATTATGAGGCACATCCAAGGAAAAGTGAACTTGATTAATACTGAATAGTTTACGTGCCAGTCTTCCATTAATTCCCCTGGTGTTTGAATAAAAATTATGTACGTGTATTCTGTCTAAAAGTGTTCCTAAATTTACTTCCTAATGAGGCTATGGTGTCTTCCAAAGTGTGACATTTTTTCTAGTTATCTAAGCAAGGTTTGCACGCTGTCATATTTATAGAGCTGTCGCTTTGTCGATTGTGAGTGTTTATGGCACTGTTACCATAACAGAATAAGAAATGACTGTTGTATCTGTAGCCCTCTAAAAAGGCTTGCCAGTATAAAGGCTTGACTTCAAGAGAAATCTATTGTGAATGTATCATTGCAGAATGGCCCAGAATATGACTGTGAGGATTTAAACTGAAAATAAGCAGGCAACCGCATACCACTTCAACACATACTGGCTATGATTGAAACTATCAGCTGTCTTTAAAAAATGAATGTGTTCTTGACTTTTTGGAAAAATATTGTAGAGCCACAAACACCGATAAGACTGAGGCATGCCATGTACAGCATGCTTAAAGGCTCTGATTTGAATTCAGAATGTATAATGTCCAAGACTTGTTATGAATTCTCAGGATGGTGATCAGTTCACTGACAGTGCATGTTTCTTACATGATTTCAAGCGACCCCACAGAAATTTGGACAAAAATAGACATTACCTGCTTTAGAAGTATTGTTATGCTGCTCTTCCTTAAAAGTTAAAACCACTGGATGGAATAGCTTATATATCAGTGTTCGCTCAACCTTGGCAACTTTAGGATGTGTTAACTTCAACTCCCAGAATTCTTGCTGGGGAATTCTGGGAGTTGAAGTCCACAGATCATAAAGTTGCCAAGTCTGAGAAACACTTGCCTAGGTTGAGAAGAGATGATTCAGTCGAGGCCCTCTAAATGGCTCAAGCAGGAAAATGCATTTAGTTTTGCTGCATCCATATCTAGCACTAAACTGGATTTTTGCACGATAGACCACTGCATGTGATCTAGAATGGTCAATAAAATCTAGTAAGCAGTTCAGTAAGGATCAAATTAGTTTTAGAAATATGAAGAAAGCAGAATAAATCACCAATTCTTAATCTAGTTCTTCCTAGACGGGTTGGATCATGGCACTGGCGAACTTAGAGAATTGAAGGCCGAGGAAAAGTTATGGTAGCTGTACAGTACTATCGTCTGATTACCCATAGAAGGAAGAGTAGAGATTTAAAATATGAATTATAGTATAGAAAAAGGAAAAGATTATGAGGGAAACAAGGGAATGAAAATGTTATTGACAGACAGGAGAAATGTTGTGGAATCTATTCGGTTAGATTCAAACTAAGTCACCTCTCTTTAGTACCTACTAAATCAATGGGATTTAAGTTTAAAATGGCTTAGTTTATTTCAAGAGGACTTAACAAAACTAATTTTATCCAAGTCTCCCTTAGAGGAAGCAGGTGGGGGGGGGGTAGTTTTCCCAGACTGCTATGGGCCTCAATATTTAGGGAGAACAAACTGCAAACCTTAAATGTTAGGTAAGAAACCAACCAGTAAAGTATATATGCGTTCCATTCCAACTCATGATCTTTCCATTTATAGCCTGGTGCCTTAATACAAACACAACTCGGTCTCAGTATGGTTATAAAATTTGATAATCTTTTTTTTTTTTTAACTAGATTATGATATAAAAGTAAACGAATGAAAACAAGGTATTTAAAATAAGATGTTGAACAACTATATGTATAGAGAATTTCCTTTACAACTGGCTGGCAAAAAAATAATAAACAATTACCGGATATTGTCAAAGAGCAGTTAGAATTGAAGCAATACATTATCTTGAGGCAATTAACTTGGCAGGGCACCATTTAAGAAAGAGCTGTGTTTATATAGCACGTATAATTAGTGAGTCATTACCAGGAAGAAAAACAAGAACTTAAACTAAGCAAATTCAGAGCAGAGAATTAAGATGGAAAAGGAGCGTATATCTGGGCCAGCTGATGGCTTGCAATAGTCAACACATACCTATCTATGGTCGTGATGTGACTTTCTTCAAGTCTAGGACTCCCATGTATAATGCTGTGGAACAAGCTGTTGTGCTTGCTGGCTTCATGATAGGTGCTCCAGAAGATCCCAGCAATGAGAAAGAAGAATCCTAATGGTAGAAGAAAATACGCAAGCGGCAAACTGTTGCACTTACATGCAGAAGTGCTTGTAGAGATGCAAAAGGCTCCTAAACAAATAGTTACAAAGCCAAGTATTAGCACAAGCAAGCGGACAAACGAGAAGAAGTTCTTAGACATCCTTGCTCTTAATCTCAGCATGCTCTGGTTGAACAATTTCTCCTTCTCTCTGCCCAGATTTTATATGATCAGAAACCGATTGTCCTTTGGACACGTGTTAAGGTACCCATTAACCATTTAAAGCAGTCATAGTATCTCAGGAGATTAACTTATAATCAAAACACTGGCAAAGAAGAGACAAAAATACTTCCTGTATTGTTTAATTGCCAACATAAACTCAGCAAACCCTTGTTGCCTTATCTACAAGATTCTTCTCAGCCTTCCTTCCACTTATTTGTTCCAAAGGTATAAAGTGGTTCTTGGCTTATTAAAAATAAGTTTTTTAAAAAAACAACTTGTGAGCCTTAATGCTCTGTTCCAGTGGACAAGAAAGATTAACTGTTCGTCTTTGGTTATATGTACTGATTTTCAAGTGGGAGCTATTTTGACTGTCCTTGATTGATCATTTCTTATTTTAACATATTCAGCATCAGTCCCATGGCTGATAAGCAGTTCTACCATTAGGCAAGCTACATCTGGATGTTTTTGTACGGCAGGTTAAATGCAGGGGCAATTTGCTATAGGGGCAGTTTGCTGTTTTGCCACAAATTCCCACAGCACTTTTTAGGGTACCAAGCATAAATAAAATTTGGCTGGAAATAATGGCAAAGGACAGAGAGAAGAAGAACAAAAATTTCTGCAAGTGTTCTCAGATGATAGTTCCTACAACTAGCAAGCAAAAGGCATTTCACAACCATTGAATCTTATAACAACAACAAACAAGGTGGTGATGGGGATTAATAAGTATATTCCAAATGGAATCACCCTCTATATAATATCCCAAGAAGGAAACAGGATAAGAGCATCTCGTAATCTTATCTGAAAGCACCCATCTGTAACAAGAAAATTTTGTCCTTGCTATGAATTATTTCATTTCTGCTACAGTTGCACACGCAATGCAACCAACACCTTCTATGCTTTCCATCGTAATCTGCAGCTGGGGTTGCCTATATAGATCCGTGAACAGGGATCACGTCCAAGGGAGATATTTTAGTATGTGGTCCTCCTTGCGTAAATCACCCAGGAAGCCAGTATTATCTGCTTTATGAGACACTTGGGAAGGAATCAAGGGCACTGAATGACAAGAACAAATACCACCCAACCGCCAGTGACATCATGACCTGTAATACATCAACTTTGTCCTAGTTCTGCCTGGACTGACTTCACTACTGTCATCTCTCTCTCTCTCTCTTCTCTTTACTAAAACAGTGACAGAATCCCCTGCTGTAACATTGTCAAGGATCCTGGAAAATGCTCTGTTTTCCAAGAGCAATAAGCTTACTGAAAGAAGAGAAGTTTTAGTGATGTCAGTGGAGAAATGCCTTCATCCAATCGGCAGTCTGCACGGTTAAGCATTTATCTCTCCCGCAGTGGGAATGTCGGCTAAAAGAAGGTATAACATAACAGAAAGAGTGAAAATTTCATTTGTGAAAAAGCTGAGCTGTAAAGATAAAGCAAAAGTGGGTTGTTTTTTTAAAGCCTGAACGTGGGCTCACTTAGTATTCAGACTCTTCGATTATCAATCCTTTTAGTCCAATACAAGCCTAGAATTCTTAGTCCTCCAAATTCTGCTGTTGGATGCTTGGATAGAGATAGAAAGATAATCATTGGTAGGACATGCTTAACCTTCCTTGGCTTTCTATTTTCCCCCCCTTTCATCCCCTGTTCTATAGAAACATTTTCCTACAGCAGTTCTCCTAGATCAACACTCACGCTGAAAACAAGGGTTAGTTAGTTGGATCAGGCTTCCCTCCAGAAACAGGGGTACATACAGGAATATAATATAAGACCAACCATTTTAAAATCAAGTTTGTTGAAGAAGACATAATAAGCTGGTCCTGACAAACCCATAATGGATAGGTTCACACAATAAATGGGGGGGGGGGCGTGAAACCCCTATATGTCAGCTTAACAAGATGTAAACTAGGAAAACTCAGTCAGATGGTGGGTTTTAAGACAAAAAGGATGCAAACAAGAAGGTCAGCAGCAGGCGAAAGTCAACATTCAAGGCAGCATCCATAGATCAAACTGCAGATACAACTTTCACACCTGAGAAAAGAAATGCAGAAGGAAGTAATAAAGCCTAATATTTCATAGGGCAGAAACTGGCTTATAGATAAACTTTGCAAGTCAAAATAGTTGCTTTCCCAGTGCAGAACATAAGGAGATGAAACTGAGCAGCTGGTGAAGTCAATGCATCATCCATATAGAAAAGTGAGATATCAACAGGAACAGGGGAAATCCCAACATTTTAGAAATGTGAAGTATTTATCTGTCAGATTTTCAAAGGCATGCATAAGACCTGGCTCTATTTACCAGTTATTAAATGCTTATTGGCTGGTAGGGGGGAAAGGAAGAATGAAATGGTATATTAGTTTTACAGCTTCTTCTTTATCTCTCTGTGTGTATATGTGGGTGTCGCTACTCCTTAGGACCTGAAGGTTCATATAGGATAGGGGTGGGCAACTATGGTGACCTGTGGACTTCAACTCCCAGAATTCTTGAGGCAGCATGGGATTCTGGGAGTTGAAATCCACAGGTTGTAAACTTGCCATATTTGTCCACCCTTGATGTAAGAGGAGAAAGTCCCTCAGGCTATTTCTTTCAAATTCTTAGGATGAAGTGACAGCTTCCAACCAGCACTGTGACTTGAGTCCCCCTGTTTGAAAAGTGTCCTTGATATTTTGGTTTCCACTCTTCCTTACTGGCCACAAGATAACTTTTGCAACAAGAGAAGTATTGAAGCTTTGGAACTATTTTTGCGTTGAGTTGGCTTGATAAGATGCTCAAAGTTTCTCAAAGGTTGAGTTAGATCGCCTTAAATAAAACTTTCAAAGGCCATGCAGACAGGCAACATAGATTGTTTTCTATCAATGGGGCACACAGTTACTGTAAGGGAATGGAATACTCCTATATAAGTTGAAATAAAGATGTCCCTTTAATTAAATTGCAGTACATCAATTCACACCAAAGGGAATCCAAGCCTTCCTTCCTTTCACCACTGAACTTAGAGATAAACTTGTCTGGATATTTGTAATGGAATTTCATTTATCAAAAGAGCATGATGTATTTTTTTCCTATTCAGATTCCTGATAAGAGTGAACTTGGTGAGCTCTCTGACTCATCACTTGAAATGGCTCATTAAAAAAAAACTGTTCTAAGTTTCATTGTGAATTTCTCAAGTTATTGACTTAGCAGTGTAAATTGTACTCAAGATTGTTTTATGAATATAACAGGTGACATGGTAACTAGTCCATCCCATGGCAGCTCGTCCATCTGGTGCCTGCCCCAACCAAACTACCTGGTTCTCCATACTGTCGAAGATCTTAAGTGGACTATAGGATCTCCATAGGATAAAAGACAATTTACAGCCAATGTGGTCTCATATATCAAGCAATCAAATGACTCTTTTTCCATCTTCTTCTTGGCAATAGTTGTTCCATCAGAAAAGCTGAGAAAAGTTATAGAAGTAAGAAAGAATGCCCACTTGGTCAAATTAACAAATACGTTAAAATGTATTTATTTATTTGTATCCTGCTTTTATTATTTTTACAAATAACTCAGAGCGGCAAACATATCCAACATGTCTTCCTCTTCTGATTTTCCCCACAACAATCACCCTGTGAAGTGGGTTGGTCTGAAAGAGAATGACTGGCCCAAGATCATCCAACTGGCTTTCATGACTAAGACAGGACTTGAAGTCACGGTCTTCTTGCTTTCTATCCTGATGCCTTAACAATTAGATCAGACTGGCTCAAATTTACTTCTTTCTTCCTTGGTTAGAACCTTATTACTGAGTTACAAAGAGGACGTTATTTCTAAGCATTGGTCCCCACCCAAAGTATCCATTCTGTGTCCTAGCTTTCAAATTCTAAACTGGAAGACAGAAACAGAAAGATTGATACCAGTTTTTCTTAGTGTTAAGTTCGGATAATGAGAGGCTCGACCAGGGCATTGGTGCAACAAAATACTTTATTTAAAAATAAAGGACTGATTGTGCTCGCCCGCCTGGAACAGGTTCGCAGCAACCAGCGACTAACCGAACCCCGCAGCCTGCTTATATAGCCGGCTGCTGGGGGTGGTCAGCCAATGGGGAAGCAGCAAACGCCCCCGCAGCGCAAGCGGACCTGAGTGGGAACTGTGGAGAGTTCCAGGGACATAACACTTAGCAATTCCCAGTCTGAGTTACTTCCTGCTTGTATTACTGTAGTACACTCTACACTATACTTCACTCTACGCTTCAAGGCTGTCCTTGAAGACTACCTGGAAGTTACAACTGTTCCAGAATGTGGCGGTGCACACAGTGATGGGTGACCCAGATTCCCCATGTTATACCTCTGTTGGAGGAGCTGCATTGGTTCCCAGTTTCCCTCTGGGTGCAATTTAAGAAACTGGTTATTACTTTTAAAGCCATATATGACCCATGGCTTGGTTATTTTCAGGATTGCTTCTCCCTAAGGACATCTGCACACTCCTAATACTTCCCTTAAGTGTTGCTATCTTATGGAATACATGAAAAGCAGGCCTTTTCTGTGACAGCCCCTATTCTATAAAATACCCTTCCTCTGAAATCCAGCTGGTCTCCATCCTTTTAACCATCCAAGCAGCATTCAAGACCTCCTTTCCCCCACCCCCTCAAGCACTGGGATAGGCCTCTATGACAACTCGCCGCAGCCAACTCGTTGCAGCCAATTCACTATGGCCAACTTGCCACAGAACAACTCGCTGTGGGACAAGAGTTACACTAATGCTGAAGAAATAGTGAAATAGAATCGTAAAAGAAAGGATGCCAAAGGAGGGATAAAATGAAATGTGAATGATAATTTTTTAAAAATATTTTAAAATTATTTTAAGTAATTGAATTGTTGAATTGTCCTGCAGTGACTTGACCATGGTGAGTTGGCCTGCAGTACAAGTTGCAAGTTGACTATGGCGACTTGGCTGCAGCGAGTTGTCCCATTCCGCTGGGATA